TTACGGTCATATCACGTTGAAACACCGGTTTCCGTATGATCATCGAAGTTAAGCAACGTTCAGTTTGTTCAGTACCGAGATGGGTAACCGTTTGTGAATACCAGAGCCGGTATACTTGGATGTTCGGGTGGTGTAATGTATAACGACTCGGACTTTGAAATTTCAGTCTGGTTCTTTATATTCAGTTACACGCAAATACCCTTGTAAAAGGTAGGAATCAACTTCTTCTCCCTCAGCTATGGGTTAATTAGTAGAACAGTTAACCATTATCACCTCCCCTCCATAAAAAAACTCTTACATTCTAAAAATATTTTCTTGTTTTAAATAGCATGCGAAAGGTTGATAAGACGTAAAATTACAGTATGTGTATCGTCCGAGCCAATATATTTACGAAGTTTCCTTCTCGTTAAGTTCGTGGAACTTTTTAACTGATCGCAATATTCGATCTGAACCAGTTCCTTTTAAAGCGTCAAATAATAATTTTGATTCAAATATAGTTCCTATGATGGCCGAAGAAGGTGTTTCAGATTTAGCTAAATAAGCTAACAATTGAATATCACTGTCGAAATTATCTGTAGTTGGATCATCATATCTTTTACAACATGCTTCCGTACCACCAGGGTAGGTTCAGAAGTAAAAGATCCACAATAGTCAGTGCTAGGAAAAGGCATAAAATATTAATAGAAAAATGTCTTCAGTTCTTCCTTCTTCGCATTTGTATATTTCAGTTCGGGATACGAATTACATTCAGTAGGTTCATCAATGTGAAATGTCATCGTTTGCAGAAAGGTGAAGGTTATTCAAATCGATATCTTTTTTTTCTTTTTTTTTTTAAAATGATGCTCATCCTGTACAAGGTCCAAGAGCTACTCGAGGCAGAAGGTTACAAGGTAAGTGACACGACCCCAAGAAAGGTGATAATGCCACCAAATTGCAAGGGTCCAGCTGAAATGAAAGAGAAGCAAAAGACTTTGAAAGGAACCGGTCAAAAAAATCCTAAACAGGAAACAAAGGATAGATCTCTACTACTGTTCCAAAGATTGGGGAGGATTGTGAACTGAACGACAGACGAACCTATCTACTCCTATTGATGACAAAAAATAAAAACTGTAGATAAATAGTAAAAATATAATGAGAGTTTTAGGCGGAGGCGTTAGAAGTATAGAGTTGAAATAGATTTTAGAAGGAACCAGAAACCCAGTTATGAGCAGAAAACAAAAGATAAACTTCTACGAATGTTCAAAAGACCGGGGAGGAGTGTGAACCGGACGAGAGGCGAAAAATAAAAAAAGGATATAGAAAAAATATAAATAAATAGTAAATAAAATTTCAGAGTTTAGGTGGGGACGTTAGAAATATTGTAGAAGTCTATCTGAATAAATATAGCAGTTATACGAAAAACTGAGTTAAGTATTTCGAGTTAATTTTCAAAGAACTGCCATTTTCTTTGGTGAATCCTCTAAAAACTAAAAAAAAAAAAAAACAAACAATTTCCTTTCAATCTGTCATCATAACTGTGGTTTACTTTTTGGGGTCCGAGGTTGTTTGGTTGTTTTCTGACCCTGTCTACGTGTCACGACGGAATAATTAGGACATTTCTTTTTATTCGTCGTAGAAGTATTCGGATTATAATATGGAGTCGCCATTGTAAAAGCAGGTGTTAAAGAAGTAATCGACTTACGCAAGCAGAGGTTGATAGCAACGTGACAAGTGAGTAGAATTTAACGAAAAACTGTGATATTTATAATAAGAGGTAATCAATCACAGTTCCCCACAACAATGGGCAATCAAACAAATTTTAAAGATTAAAGCTGATTGGAAAGTAAGAGGCCGGAAGATATCTCCACGAACGAGAAGCCAGAGAAAAGAAACTGTTAGCATAAAAACCTACGGCTACATCTAACCGTTTCAAATTTAAAATGATGAAATCTAACTTCCAATCCAGTACCGCGAAGTAGCAAAGAGGAAATCCCATCAAAACAATTACTATGAAAATACCTCTAAGAAAGGCACAGGGAGCCTACATTACGGCGGTGGGAAAGTGATATGCCAGATCAGGATCGACAATATTAAAGATCCGTATCCTATGAAGAATCTCTAAATACATAACAAAAGCAACAAACTAGATGTGACAGCAATATTCCATGCATGGACGAATGGTAGACTTATAAATATATAAGAGAGATTGTAGTAAGAGAATACATTTACCACGCAGAGTAAACGGACATGGCGTGTAAATCTAACATGGCCGACGTCGCGAGGATACGACGATGCCTCGCGTGGTCGCAAGCAGCGGCCATTTGCAATAGCCCCACTACGCATGTGTCACGCTACTCAATTGTTTTGAATAAGATCAGGGCGTATTTGGAGTGGAACTGTTAGTCGAGGTGGTTGATTTCTAGGGTTTTATGTGCATTAAGATTGTTGACATTGATATATATTTTCTTTTGGGATTTTGCGATTTGTTTGTTCTTTTTTTTTAAACTAAAGCTATCATATTAATTTTATAACACAGATTCTGGCGAGAAAAAAAACAACTTTCCTAGCATCAGACCTAGCAGCTGACACATTATATTCCTACCACTACATATCAGCGGAAAAGGATTGCCCGATAAGGCGCAATGGGACACTCACCTGCGTACCGGTGGAGGATATTCGTCATCTGTATGTTAGTATGTATGCAAGAGAAAGGTCTCTGTTAACAAACATCGATAATATCTTCTTTTTTTTCTTTTATGTACCGTGTCCCTTCAGGACGTAGGTGATCATGGCTCTCCTTTTCCTCCTGTCCCTTGTAGCTCCCAATAAGCTTTAACTTTTTTTGTTATTACTCCCAGACCCTGTTCCGCTATCCGTTTGCTTAAGCCCGTTGCTTTCCCTAGTCCTTCTTTCTCTCCTACCGTCCTGTGAGTATCAGATTTTTCCAAGCCCTTCTATCTCATTACGTGTTCTAGAAATTTCAGGTACCTCTTAATGATATTAATTGTGAATTTCCTTTTTGTTTGCATCCTCTCGAAAACCTTATCGTTGCTAACATGTTCGGTCCATGGTATCCTCGGTATTCTTCTATAGAACCACATCCCTGTTGCTTCAAAGTCTTTTCTTCATCTTTGAGGAGATCATCCAACATTCGCTGCCGTAAAGGAGGACAGATATCACATAGCAGTCCAGTACTCTATTCTTTGTTACCAACAAAATCCTCCTGTCTCGTAATGTTCTGTGTAGCTTTTGGAATGCGTCTTTGGCCGTACCAATATGTCTTCGGATCTCAGTGTCGCACTTACCGTCCCCTGTCAGAACACTTCCCAGATATTTAAATTTCCGCATCTGCTTGATTTTAGTGACCCCAACCTGTAAATCGTATTTCGGGCTCATCTTTTTGCTGATGACCATGCATTCTGTCTTCTTGTAGTTTATGCTTCGTTCCATCTTTCTTCTCTCCTTTGTTAGTTTAGGTAGGAGGTTTTGTAGTTTCCTTTGCGTGCCTGCTATCAGCATAGTGTCATCTGCGTATCTTATGTTGTTAAGATTGTGGCCGCCAATGATAAATACTGGTAGGATTTCCCGTTCTCTCAGAATTGACTGGCTGTATAGGTTGAATAGGTCCGGTGAGAAGACACATCCTTACCTTAAACCACTTCCTGTTTTTGTATAGCTGCTGAACTCATGTTTTTATCTTTTTGTTGCTAATAGACGTTTTTGATTATTCTAATGTCTTTCCCGAACATGTTGCTGGGCAGCCCCAACAGATTTTTGTAGCATACTTTGTTGGACGCCTTTGTGTAGTCTATAAAACACAGGTGCACGTTCTTTTGCATCTGTTTCTCTCTTTCTGATAACATTCTGAGCATGAATATCGCGTTCCTTGTTCAGGCGTCTTTAACTAAACCGCATTGTTCTTGTCCTATCTTTGGCCTGAATCTGCTGCACGCTATATTCATCAGAATACGGATGATTAGTTTTGTTATGTGGCTCATTAGGTTGATTGTTCGGTACAGTTCACATTAGTTTACGCCTGGTTTCTTAGGCAGTGTTATGAAAATAGATCTTCTTAGACCTGGTGTATCTCCGCTGTTGTAGATTTCATTTAATATTTGCGTAATCTTGTCTATACCAAAATCATCTAATGCTATCAGCGTCTCTGTTGCTATTCTGTCTGGCCCTACCGCCTTATTTCTGTTCAATTTAGCCATTGCCGCTTTCACTTCTTTTATTTTTTTATATTTCAGGCCCGCCGGTAGTTTGGTGTATTGCCGGTTGTTCTCTTTCGTCGTGGAAGAATTCTCCAATATATTTGCTCCAGTGCTGAAGAATTTTTTCCTTCTCTAATATGAGCGTTCCATCTTTGAATTTCATGCAATCTGTTGACGAGCACGTCTTCTGTCCTGTTAGTTCCCTTATTTATGCATATCTCCTTTGTGCCATGCAATTTCTCTATTTCTGCACCTTTTTTTTTTTTAATTTAGCCACTCTTCTTTAGCCCACCTGCATTTGGTCCTTATTTCGCTGTTGTAGTTTTCTGTATTCTGTTCTGTATCTTGGCAGAGTTTTCTGTCTCCTTTGCATCATGTCTAGAATCTCATCAGTGATCCATTCCTTTTTTCTTCTTCGTCCCTTCTCCTTTGGGATGATATTGTTTGCTGATGCCACTAAAGATTCTCTTAGTGTGTCCCATCTCGAGTTCCCATATCCATTCCCTCACATCTATTCTTCACGCTGTCCATATATTTTCCCTTCAGGTTCAGGTCACCCAGGGGTTTGTGGCATTGCAATTTGGGTGCTGCGTTAGGTTTCTTCAGTTTCCATAGTTTCCTTCTGAGTTTATTTGACAGGGGCGATAGTCGCTTCTGCAGTCGATACTTGGATAGGTTTTGTATTGAACCAATGCATTCTTGAATCTTTTGCTGATAGTTATGTAGTCAGTTTGGATTTTAGTTTCTCCACGCGGGCCTCTCTATGTCCATAATCGTCTCGGATTTTCTTGGAACCATGTGTTGGCTATTACCTGGTCATTTGCCTCGCACCTTTTGATCCCTTTTTCTCCACGTTCGTTGCGGTTTCCTAGTTCAAATTTGCCAGCTATCTCCTCTGCTCTCTTCATGCCAA